TTTTGTCTAGGAGAAAAAGTAATTGACGAAATCTTAAGAAGGTTTCAGAATTTTAAATTGGAAGAAACAGGACCATTACAAATTTTGAATGGTACTACTTTGACGGGAGGATTCAGAAACAAAGTTTTCATAAATTCTGGTACTTCTGGTCAGCGATAAAAGATTGAGTATGAAGGGAGAACTTTACTCCTTGATATGGTTTACAGACAATTCTAGAAATATTGCATTGAGAACTAGAAACGTCACACAAATTTGGACTTCAGTATGGAATTCTAATTCTAGAAAGAAAGCAATCGAAGAAAAAAGAAACGATGTAGAATCTGAAGTTAAGCATTACGGTTGGAGAAGGTTTTATTACTTGGAAACAGGAAGACGTATGATAGAAATTTGGACTTTGGAGTGGACTTATAATGTGAAAGAAAAAGTAATTGAGAAAGTTTTCAGAAGATTCTGGAATAAAATCAAGAGTAAAAGATGAAAAATTTACAAGAATTGTAGAATTTCTGGTGAAAAAAAACAGAAATTTCTGTTTCAGTAAAGAATTGAAGATGAAAACAGAAACTAGTTATTATGGTTTAAGAAGATTGCTAATGAATTGTTTGAGGAACGAGATGAGATAAAAAAATTCAAATCTACCAAAGAATTGATCTTCAAAAAAAAGATTGTAGATAAACTTTAGCGAAAGTTGTGGAACATTCTAAGAAAGACATCAGTCTGGTCAGATCAGGTATAGGACGTTTTAATATTTAAAATTGGGAAGAATTACTTAGGCTTCAGCACGGGGTTTTGTCTAGGAGAAAAATAATTGAGGAAGTCTTGAGAAGATTTCAGAATTTTAAATTGGAAGAAACAGAACCATTACAAATTTTGAATGGTACTACTATTAGGGGAGGGTTCAGAAACAAAGTTTTCATAAATTCTGGTACTTCCGGTCAGCGATAAAAGATTGAGTATGAAGAGAGAATTTTACTCCTTGATATGGTTTGCAGACAATTCTAGAAACATTGCATTGAGAACTAGAAACGTCATACAAATTTCGACTTCAGTATGGAATTCTAATTCTAGAAAGAAAGCAATCGAAGAAAAAAGAAACGATGTAGAATCTGAAGTTAATCATTACCTACGGTGGAGAAGGTTTTATTACTTGGAAACGGGAAAAGGTATGATAGAAATTTGGACTTTGGAGTGGACTTATAATGTGAAAGAAAAAGTAATTGACAAAGTTTCCAGAAGACTCTGGAATAAAATCAAGAGTAAAAGATGAAAAATTTACAAGAATTGTAGAATTTCTGGCGGCAAAAAAAAACAGAAATTTCTGTTTCAGTAAAGAATTGAAGATGAAAACAGAAACTAGTTATTATGGTTTAAGAAGGTTGCTAATGAATTGTTTGAGGAACGAGATGAGATAAAAAAATTCAAATCTACACAAAGAATTGATCTTCAAAAAAAAGATTGTGGATAAAGTGTAGCGAAAGTTGTGGAATATTCTGACAACGACATTAGTCAGGTCAGATCAGGTAAAAGACCTTTTAATATTTAAAATTGGGAAGAGTTACTTAGGCTTCAGCACGGGGTTTTGTCTAGGAGAAAAAGTAATTGACGAAGTCTTGAGAAGATATCAGAATTTTAAATTGGAAGAAACAGAACCATTACAAATTTTGAATGGTACTACTTTTACGGGAGGATTCAGAAACAAAGTTTTCATAAATTCTGGTACTTCTGGTCAGCGATAAAAGATTGAGTATGAAGAGAGAATTTTACTCCTTGATATGGTTTGCAGACAATTCTAGAAATATTGCATTGAGAACTAGAAACGTCATACAAATTTGGACTTCAGTATGGAATTCTAATTCTAGAAAGAATGCAATTGAAGAAAAAAATAACGATATAGGATCTGAAGTTAATCATTACCTACAATTGGAGAAGGTTTTATTACTTGGAAACAGGAAGACGTATGATAGAAATTTGGACTTTGGAGTGGATTTATAATGTGAAAGAAAAAGTAATTGACAAAATTTTCAGAAGATTCTGGAATAAAATCAAGAGTAAAAGATGAAAAATTTACAAGAATTGTAGAATTTCTGGCGGCAAAAAAAAAACAGAAATTCTGTTTCAGTAAAGAATTGAAGATGAAAACAGAAACTAGTTATTATGGTTTAAGAAGGTTGCTAATGAATTGTCTGAGGAACGAGATGAGATAAAAAAATTCAAATCTACCAAAGAATTGATCTTCAAAAAAAAGATTGTGGATAAAGTTTAGCGAAAGTTGTGGAATATTCTAAGAAAGACATCAGTCAGGTCAGATCAGGTAAAGGACGTTTACTATTTAAAATGGGGAAGAGGTACTTAGACTTCAGCACGTGGTTTTGTCTAGGAGAAAAAGTAATTGACGAAGTCTTAAGAAGATTTCAGAATTTTGAATTGGAAGAAACAGAACCATTACAAATTTTGAATGGTACTACTTTTACGGGAGGATTCAGAAACAAGGTTTTCATAAATTCTGGTACTTCTGGTCAGCGATAAAAGACTGAGTATGAAGAGAGAATTTTACTCCTTGATATGGTCTGCAGAGAATCTTAGGAATATTGCATTGAGAACTAGAAACATCATACAAATTTGGACTTCAGTATGGAATTCTAATTCTAGAAAGAAATCAAACGAAGAAAAAAGAAACGATGTAGAATCTGAAGTTAAGCATTACGGTTGGAGAAGGTTTTATTATTTGGAAACAGGAAGAGGTATGATGGAAATTTAGACTTTGGAGTGGACTTATAATGTAAAATAAAAAGTAATTGACAAAGTTTCCAGAAGACTCTGGAATAAAATCAAGAGTAAAAGATGAAAAATTTACAAGAATTGTAGAATTTCTGGTGAAAAAAAAAACAGAAATTTCTGTTTCAGTAAAGAATTGAAGATGAAAACAGAAACTAGTTATTATGATTTAAAAAGGTTGCGAATGAATCGTCTGAAGAACGAGATGAGAAAAAAAAAATCAAATCTACCAAAGAATTGATCTTCAAAAAAAAGATTGTGGATAAAATTTAGCGAAAGTTGTGGAATATTCTAAGAAAGACATCAGTCAGGTCAGATCAGGTAAAGGACGTTTTAATATTTAAAATTGGGAAGAGTTACTTAGGCTTCAGCACGGGGTTTTGTCTAGGAGAAAAAGTAATTGACGAAGTCTTGAGAAGATTTCAGAATTTTAAATTGCAGGAAACAGAACCATTACAAATTTTGAATGGTACTACTATTACGGAAGGGTTCTGAAACGAAGTTTTCATAAATTCTAGTCCTTCTGGGCAGCGACTAAAGATTGAGTATGAAGAGAGAATTTTACTAGTTGATATAAGTTTCAGACAGTTCTAGAAATATTGCATTGAGGATTAGAAGCACCATACAAATTTGGACTTCAGTAAGGAATTCTAATTCGAGAAAAAAAGCAATTGAAGGAAAAAGAAGCAATGTAGAGTTTGAATTTAATCATTATAATAGAGGTATACAAATTTAGACTATGGAATGAACTTGTAATGTGAAAACGAAAGTAATTGACGAAGTTTCCAGAAGATTCTGGAATAAAATCGAAAGTAGAAGATGAAAAATTTTCATGAATTCTAGAATTTTCGGCAGCAAAAGAATGCAAAAATTTCGATTTCAGTAAAGAATTGAAGATGAGAACAGAAGCTAGTTGTTGTGGTTCAAGAAGGTTGCTAATGAATTGTTTGAGAAACAAGATGAGATAAAAAAAATTCCAGTCTACTAAAGAAATTAATCTTCAAAAAAAAAGATCATGGACAAAGTTTAGCGAAAGTTTTGGAATACTCTAAGATCAAGTCGAAGTCTTAGAAAATTGTAGAAACGGTATCATGACAAGTTTTGAATGATACTACTAGTAAGAGAAGGTTTAAAAACGAAGTTTGCCTAAATTCTAGTACTTCTAAAGAGAGAATTTAACTAGATTGTAGTTCGAAAAAGAATTCAGCTAAAGAAAAAAAGAAACAATATCTTGGTAAATACTGTTAACGTAGACAAAGTCCAGGACGACCTGTAATGTGAAGAAGACAATAATTGACGAAGTTTTGTGATAACGATCGTGCCGGACGTGTTATTATTTTTCTTGTAAAACCGTCTCGTAATTTAATTTAAGACTTAGCCGTAAAATTTATCATTTTAGCCGTGTAGCTGATGGCAGGGAATAAACCCGATTATTTATTGTAAAATATCTCTTTTTATTTTATTTTCTTATTTTCGCGGGCGCTCACCACCTGAGATCCGTGTCTCCGGCTTAAGAGCAACCCTGGCGCTCCCTCTCCCGGAGAAAAGACTTCGACTTTGAGATATCGTCCAGTCGTAAAAAAGGCGAATTATTAGCTTTAAGAGAATTTCACAAAAGTATAAAATGATTCCTTCAAAACGTAAAACGTCCCCTGGGCGAGATATACGATTTTTAACCGGACCAAAAAAATTACACGAAAGGTAATGTTGTACGCTCGAGAAACGAAATATTCGCAACGTAATGTTCCAGAAGGAAATAATAATTACAGAGAATGCGAGAACATCAAGAGGCAGTCATGCAGTGGACTACAATGAAGGAAAAAAATTCTGATTTTTATATTGGAGGGTTAACAGTTAAAGTTGTAATTACACTAGTCATACAAGTTGTTAATTCTTGGAAACTTCGGTAATATCTGGAAAAAATTGACAAAAAACTTCGTCAAATGTATCGGCATAATTACACTCCGAAGTCGTAGTTTCTGTATGAAGCTCTGTTCATTTGTAAAATTATTTAATTTTTTATGTACATATCGAAACAAAAAATTTCAATATAAATTAAAAATTCATTCGCTGGTGAACCCTTTAATAAATCGTTATTCGTTTCCATTTCCACGTTTGCCACACAAGATACCGCCTCTTAAAAAACGCGTTTGAAATTTCACTGTTGGTCGCACTGTCCTCTATTTCGATTTCCGCCCGGCTCTAATTAAATAAACCCGTTACATTACTTTAGCCTGTCGCATCAGGACGCTCAGCTCGTGGATCTTATCGTCCCTATCCTTAATCAGTTTCTGAAAATCCGATTCGTGCCCGATTTCGCTCCTGTATTTGCTGATCATTTGCTTCAAATTCGTAACCTCTTCTCTCCATTTTTCCGCCTCGTTTTTGTACGCCATAATTTCGTTACGATGCAAATCCTCCAGGCTGCAAATTGTTAAGTACAGTGTAAATAATGGATGAGCGCTCGAAGATAATTATACTCTTTGCCCAGGTTCTGCATCGTTTCCAGCCTGTCGTTAGCCAGAACGCGCCATCTGACGGCTTCCTGTCTGCTGGCCTGTAATTGGGACTCCAAACTCGAAACCTTGGTGCGTAGATCCGACAATTCGTCCTCGAGAGAGTGGACCTGGAGGAAATACTGCTCGAGGGCGGCTTTGCTGGGGTGGACGCCGCTGATGGAGGATTTCAGCCTGGAAGAATCGGTGAAACTATAAATTATATTTTTAAGACAAGCACTTAAGTCTAGTGGAGCCACATTGCTAATATTTAGAAAATGTCCACTTGAACTTCTTGAAGTTCCGTCTCCCGCCGGAGACAATTCTTATTTTATTTGCAGCCATTCTGAATAATTGATTGAAACTCAACCTGAACATTCTTTCAAATTCCTAAGCCAGGATATACTTTTTCCAATATTCAATATTTCTTTTCTTTATTTTATCCTGTAAGTTTAGTCCAATCAAGGAGTGTCGTGCTCGTCTTATCATATAGCCTAAATATTCAAGCTTCCACTTTTTAATAATTGTTCTAATTATTTCTTCTCTCGTTTCAGCCTGGAATTCACATCCAATGCGACACTCGATTTACTCAAGATAAGCAGAACATCCTGATTTTTTTTTCTCTGTTATCTAATTGTAATGTTCAGCCTTCGCTTTATTGATCTTTCATTTTCACCTAAACTAACCAACTTAATTGTGTCTGTGTGATTTTTATTTTATGATGGCATCCGCTGTATGTATAATATTCTAATCCCAAGATTTTTTGAATATTTTAATTTTTGTGAAATAAAAAGAAAATTGCTTCTTTGACTAACAAAAAACCTGCCATGAACTTGGTGTTCATTTACTTTACGTTAAAAAATTCGACTCAAACTTGATTAACCAATTAACTTATCACTGAAGACATTATATTATTAAAAAAATCCACGATAAACGATGTACAATTTAAGTATTTTTGTTTTATGTAAGGGTTAATCAATATTTCACTTTGTGTGTAAATCCTGTACAATGTACAATAAAAGCTAGATTTAATGACACATAATAAAGTAAGAGTTGTAAGACACTTAATTTAATGACATTTGAAAAACATTTGAGTCAGATATTTGAGAAGCTCCGTACGTCAATGGAAAATATAGCACGGATATTTGTAAAACTCCATGGATGAGTGACCACGAATTCATTTTTACTTCCTGAGCGTTAGTTTCATATTTCCTAGAATATGAAAAAGTAGGTCTCCCGTTTCCGACAGTTTGTCATTTACTGGCAACAACTAATTTTTGAAAGTAAAGCAAAATAAGTGTTATAATTAAGTTAACTTAATGATTAAATCAAAATAAGTTCATCAAGATCATGGTCCCAACAAATTCACATATCACCTACAGCAAAGCATATATTAAGTATGTGCTTTGTTTCATCAAAATTATAATTTGAGAATAAATGTTCAAATTCAAGCTGTGAGCAAATATTTAATTACGATGTAAAGAAATTACACATTAACGTAACACAAATTAAACAAAATTTATGAAGTGTGGATATTGTAATACATTCGGAAAAACATCCAGATCTTTTACGCATATCATTAATTTAGAATAAGTTGAGTGAATTTCCCCCACAGTAGTGTATAAAATTTCACAAATCAGTCCAATAGTTTCGGAGATTATCTTTTTAATAAAATAGACACAGACGACAGACAGAAAACAGACAGACAGACAGACAGACAGACAGACAGACAGACAGACGACAGACAAATAGACGAAAACGGGAATCTATTGTTTCGTACTCTAGGGTCCTTTACGTTCCTCTACGAAAGTTCAAGATCCAAAGTTAATCTGTCTGTAGTATTTAAATAATATATGGTATTTTTTTTTCAAAATTATAATCCCTTATAGTAAGTAAAGATAAATCAGATTGGTAGAAATGAAATAAAGCAATAAATTTTATCACTTGACACAAATGAAAAAGAAAAATACGTTGCAAAATTCAAAATTACGTGCAAATTTTTGTAATAAAATTTTGTGATGTTTTCAAGTATTATATTTCCGGAATTAACTGCGGTGTTGCCACATTTCATCTAAATATAACTGTAATACAGAGTTAACAACAATTACTGTTTCAGTGTTAGTAGTAGTATTAAATAATTTTGCTTGAATTGCTAGAACTATCACTACAAATTTTTGTATAGATTTTAATGTCATAACCTAACTTTCTTGAGTGACATTGTGCCAAGCACTTAGATCAGGTTCGACAATAGCAACGCAAAAAAATTGGTTGAAAGTTGTTCCAAAACTTTGAGATGACTTCATCAATTTTTTGAAAAGGACAAAAAAATCACAAATAAGGAGAAAAAAGCTGCAAAAGAGGAGATAAAAGAGGACCCAAAAAATAGGAAACAAAAAAAGGCAAGAAAATGTGGCAAGAAAAAGGACACAAGAAAGCGAATGAAAACGACAAAATAGAAAAAGGCACAAAAAAGTCAAAGAATGCGATAAAAAGGACCTAAAAAAGGAAACAATAAAAGACTATGTAAAAAAGGGGTTAAAAAAGGCACCAAAAATCGCGAAAAATTGAGTCAAAAAAGAGGATAAAAAAGGGGTTACAATAAAGGAGCCAAAAGCCCAACAAAAAACCCATCAAAAAAGAGACGAGCAAAAAAGCGACAAAAAAGAGCTTAAAAAGGGAAACAAAAAAGGCCGTACACAAAGGTCAAAAAAGCGAAAAAAGCGGCAAAAACGACAAAAAAATCAAAAAATCAAGAGGGCAAAAGGCACAAAAAAATGCGAAAAAAAAGGCCAAAAAAATGGGAAAATGTTATCAAAAAAAGACGATACAAAAGGACCCGAAAAAACACCAAAAAATGGACTAAAAACGACAAAAAAGGAATCCTGAAAGAGGAACAAAGCAAGAAGATCTTAAAAAAGGGGAAAAGGCAAGAAAAAATGGGGTAAAAAAAGCCACAAAAATGGGGTAAAAAAGCCACAAAAAAACGACAAAAAAATCAAAAACGAGGCCACAAAAGGTTTAAAAAAAGGAAAAATCGGTAAAAAGTGCCCAAAAAAAAGGGAACAATGAAAGACTATTCAAAAAGAGAACAAAAAAAAGGCGCCAAAAAAACCAAAACATTGTGGCAAAAAAATACAACAAAAAGAGACTACAATAACAGGATCGGAAAAAAACAACCCAAAGAGTGATCAAAAAACGACAAAAACAGCGACAAAAACGCGGTAAGAGGCTATGAAAAGCAGAACAAAAAAAAGCAAAAAAGGGGCCAAAAACGCGGAAAATTGAGCCAAAAATGAGGATAAAAAAAGGGTCAAAAAAGGGGTTACAATAAAGGGGTCAAAAACCCAACAAAAAAGCCGCCAAAAAAGAGACGACAAAAAAGAGCCTAAAAAGGGAAACAAAAAAGACCGTACACAAAGGTCAAAAAAGCGAAAAAATGCAGCAAAAAGACGACAAAAAAATCACCAAATACGACAAAAAAAAACAGCAGGAGGGCAAAAGGCATAAAAAAAATGCGAAAAAAAGCTAAAAAAATGGGAACGCAAAAAAAATCGAAAATGCCATAAAAAATACGATAAAAAAGAACATAATAGAAGAACCCGAAAAAACATCAAAAATGGGACTAAAAAACGACAAAAAAGGAATCCTGAAAGAGGGACAAAGCAAGAAGATTTTAAAAAAGGGTAAAAGGCAAGAAAAAATGGGGCAAAAAAAGCCACAAATAAACGACAAAAAATCAAAAACGAGGCCACAAAAGATTTAAAAAAGGGAAAAATCGGTAAAAAGTGCCTAAAAAAGGGAATAATGAAAGACTATTCAAAAAGAGAACTAAAAAAAGGCGTCAAAAAACCAAACCATTTTGGCAAAAAAATTCAACAAAAAGAGACTATAATAACAAGAGTGGAAAAAAACAACCAAAAGAGTGATCAAAAAACGACAAAAACAGCGATAAAAACGCGGTAAGAGGCTAAGAAAAGCAGAACAAAAAAAAAAAGCAAAAAAGGGGCCAAAAACGCGAAAAATTGAGCCAAAAATGAGGATAAAAAAGGGTCAAAAAAAGGGGTTACAATCAAGGAGTCAAAAACCCCACAAAAAAGAGACGACAAAAAAGAGCCCAAAAAAGGAAACAAAAAAGACCGTACGCAAAGGACAAAAAAGCGAAAAAATACGCAAAAAGACGACAAAAAATCACCAAAAACGGCAAAAAAAACAAAAGGCAGGAGGGCAAAAGGCACAAAAAATGCGAAAAAAGGGCAAAAAAATGGGAACACAAAAAAAATCCAAAATGTTATAAAAAAGACAATAAAAAAAACATAATAAAAGAACCCGAAAAAACATCGAAAAAAGGACTAAAAAGCGACAAAAAAGGAATCCTGAAAGAGGAACAAAGCAAGAAGATCTTAAAAAAAGGGAAAAGGCAAGAAAAAATGGGGCAAAAAAAAGCCACAAAAAAAAACGACGAAAAATCAAAAACAAGGCCACAAAAGGTTTAAAAAAAGGGAAAAATCGGTAAAAATGGCCTATGAAAAGGAAACAATGAAAGACTATTCAAAAAGAGAACAAAAAAAAGGTGTCAAAAAAACAAACCATTGTGGTAAAAAAATACAACAAAAAGAGACTACAATAACAGGAGTGGAAAAAAACAACCAAAAGAGTGATCAAAAAACGACAAAAACAGCGATAAAAACGCGGTAAGAGGATAAGAAAAGCAGAACAAAAAAAAGCAAAAAAAGGGCCAAAAACGCGAAAAATTGAGCCAAAAATGAGAAAAAAAAGTGTTAAAAAAGGGGTAACAATGAAGGAGTCAAAAACCCAAGAAAAAAGCCACCAAAAAAGAGTCTAAAAAAGGGCAACAAAAAAGACCATACACACGGGTCAAAAAAAAAGAAAAATGCGGCAAGAAGACGACAAAAAATCACCAAAAACGACACAAAAAGCAAAAAGCAGGAGGGCAAAAGGCACAAAAGATGTGAAAAAAGCCAAAAAAATGCGAACATAAAAAAGACAGAAAATGTTATAAAAAAGATGACAAAAAAGGAAACACAATGAAAGGACCCGAAAAAACACCGAAAAAGGGATTAAAAAGCGACAAAAAAGGAATCCTAAAAGAGGAAGAAAGCAAGCAAATCTTAAAAACGAGGAAAAAGCAAGAAAAAATGTGGCACAAAAAGCCACAAAAAACGACAAAAATCAAAAACGAGGCCAAAAAAGGTTTAAAAGAGGGAAAAAAATCGATAAAAAAGCCTAAAAGAGGGAACAGTAACAGACTATTCAAAAAGAGAACTAAAAAAAGGCACCAAAAAAAAACGAAACATTGTGGCAAAAAAATACTACAAAAAGAGACTACAATAACAGGAGTGGAAAAAAACAACCAAAAGAGCGATCAAAAAACGATTAAAAAAAGCGGTAAGAGTCGGAAGAAAAGCACCAAAAAAGATACTAAATTACAACAAAAAAAGCGCGAAGAGAAGTCCAAGAAGGAGAACAAAAAAACATAAAAAAGGTGCCAGAAAAAGCGAATTAGACGATAAGAAAGTGGCATAAGAAGAGGACAAAAAATCACAAATAATGCGAAAAAAGCTCCAAAAGAAGAGATAAAAGAGGACCCAAAAAATTGGGAACAAAAAAGGCAAGAAAATGTAGCAAAAAAAAAAGGAAACAAGGAAGCGAATGAAAACGACAAAATAAAAAAAGGGACAAAAAAGTGAAAGAATGCGATAAAAAGGGCCTAAAAATGGAAACAAGAAAAGACTATGTAAAAAGGGGTTAAAAAAGGCACCAAAAATCGCTAAAAATTGAGCCAAAAATGAGGATAAAAAAAGGGGCAAAAAAAGGGGTTACAACAAAGAGCCAAAAACCCAACAAAAAAGGCACCAAAAAACAGACGACTTAATGAGCGACAAAAAAGAGCCTAAAAGGGGAGCCAAAAAACACGGTACACAAATGTTAAAAAAGAGAAAAAATGCGACAAAAAGACGACAAAAAAAAACACCAAAAGCGACAAAAAAAAGCAAAAAGTAGGAGGGCAGAAGGCACAAAAAAATGCGAAAAAAGGCCAAAAAAATGAAAACAAAAAAATTGTAAATGTTATAAAAAAAGACGATAAAAAAGGAAACATAATAAAAGAACCCGAAAAAACACCAAAAAAGGGTTTAAAAAGCGACAAAAAAGGAATCCTAAAAGAGGAACAAAGCAAGAAGATCTTAAAAATGGGGAAAAAGCAAGGAAAAAATGAGGCAAAAAAAGCCACAAAAAACGACAAAAATCAAAAACGAGGCCAAAAAAGGTTTAAAAAATCGATGAAAAGAGCCTAAAAAAAGGGAACTATTCAAAAAGAGAACTAAGAAAGGCGTCAAAAAAAAACGAAACATTGTGGCAAAAAAGTACTACAAAAAGAGACTACAATAACAGGAGTGGAAAAGAAACAACCAAAAGAACGATCAAGAAACGACAAAGACAGCGATAAAAAAGCGGTAAAAGAGGCTAAAAAAAGCAGAACAAAAAAACAAAAAAGGAGCCAAAAACAATGTGTCAAAATTAAATTGCAAAATGTTGTTTTATGATTTGTTTTTTTTTTTCAAAAATCTGTACTTCTCGGGTGAAACCTCAACACAGTCATAACTATAGGTCTAGGACTATGTTATGTTATACAATTTCAAACCATTTACTATGTACAATTTTGAACTGACGTCTTCATATTATGTTATATTCATAATACACATATAAAATTTGACAATAATCGATCCAGTAGTTTCGAAGATTATATGACTAATAAAAAACCGGACAGACGGCAGACGGACAGACAGACAGACAGACGGAAACGGAAGACCTATTTCTTCGTACTCTAAGGGCCATGAAATGTCGAGAAAACGTAAAATTGAATAGTAGAGAGCCGACGGACTCGATTACAATACTTCCTTATAAATATAAATTACCGATTTATTAAAAAAAATATATTTTCAAATATTTTTTCGGAAAAAAATTGCGCTGTTGCCAAATCTTGCTAATCTAAAAAAAAAAATTTTTAACAAATCGGGCACTATATAGCATAAAAGAATTTTGGAATTGTGACTTTGGTAAAATATAGTTTTAAGATTTTGGTAATTTGTATTCGCTGACTTGTGCAAAACATGTATGTATTATGTATTATGCACCAATAAACTCAAACTCAATAAATACATATAATTTATAATACGGTGATCACTGATCAACAATTACTGGTTCAGTGGTATCAAAAAATGTTGTTGCCGATTGGTAGAACTGCCATTCACGGATAACAGTAACTTTTAATAATTTTTTTTATTGATTTATTAAAGTGTTATAACCTAACTTTCTTGAGCGCTTAAAAGTGACATTGCGCCAAGCGTCTGGATCAGGTTCGACAATAGCAGCGCAAAAAATGTCACAAAATTGGACACTGTATTATTTTGAAACATTTCGCTTTTTTTTTGCTGTAAATTGACTCATAATTATAATATACTCACTCAACGACTTTCTGTTTCTCTTCGCTTAAACATTTCTGGAGAACCTTAAGTTCGTCTCTCATTAGCGACGCCGCCATGCTATGTTTATCACGATCTTCCTTCAACAACGACTGATATTTAAGAATGTCGTCTTCCTTCTGTTTCATATTGTCCTGGAAAGTTTTCAGAGAACACTGCAACAAAAAACTAACAATGTCCGAGCAAATTTGAGTAGAACATAATTAATAGCCGTTCCAACTGCTTCCGGCATTCTGCAGCCCTCGATCAATACTCTATAAACTGTTCAAAAAAAAAGCCGACTAGAGCATAAAATCTCAAACCAAATAGCCGCGATTAGGAACCTATTCAAGACTTTCTTTTAATTCTAGGACGAATTATTGCCTCGAAGTTCCAAACTCCCCCGCAAAAGAAACTACATTTTAAAACCTCATTTAAATCCACCGAATCAATGTTTCGCGAACTTCGGCCGTTATTACGCAGAAACAGCTGTAAATATTGACACACGAAGAAAAATTCCGTTTTGTGTACCTTCAGTGCCAAAACCTCTTCGTTCGTGTTCAAATCGATGCCCTCTGTGGCCGATATCTCCTTCTTGCTCTGCAGCTCCAATATATGCCTTTCATAAAACGTAATTTGGCTCTGTTTGTCTCCCAGCTGCTTTCTAAATAAACTTATATTCATTTCGTGTTCCGTTATTTTGCTTTTTAGTTGCTGGATCGTTTCTTCCTTACTGGCAATTTCATTAGTGGCTGTAATAAGTTCAGCCCGTAAATTATTGAAAGTCTCGTTTTCCTGGAGATTCTCTTGCTGAGTCACATCCGTCTGCGTCTCTTTGCTTTTGGTTATTTTTATCATCGGTGGATCGGACTTGGGAGACTTTTCCTGGAGGACGGGGGTCATCGGAGTGTCTGGTTCTAAATCAAAGGCGAAATTTTTGTGCAAGGCGAATAGTTCTTCTTCGAGTTTTATGATTTGTTCGTCTTGGATTTTTACGCGGTCGAAGACGTGCTGGAGTTGGGTTTCTTTGAGGGAGTACTGTCGACGATATTTTATTTCCTAAAATAAAGACAAACAATTTAGAGACGAGAGTGGAGATTTTAAATGGAAAGGAATATTCGAATTATTATGTATGAAGTGCTCATTAAAAGTTAAAGCTGAGCAGTTCTTTCGTTTTTACAGTTTCGTTTAGTACATGCGGAAATTATTAAAGCTGAGCTCTAATGCGAAACAGAAAAGTGAGGCGAAACTAAAACATATTCCGGTAAAGGTTAGGAGTTCACATGTATTATGCAACAAGTTTCGTATATCAGTTTCATTGTAACATTACTGAAGAAGAATAACTAATGTGTATGTTTATTAAAGACACAATGCTACATATGACCATTTTCGGGTTTTATGGAAAGTTATTCATTTATTTTTCGTAAAGAAAGCTGGTTCGTGGCCAAACTTTTTAGCATAGAATGTATAATTTAAACTCTCGATACATTCAGGATTTTCTTCCTTTAATAATTGGTTGATGTTAGCACTGTACTGCAAATTTACTAGTATATGACCATTGTGGTAGAAATTACAGACATTCATTTTATCTAAAAAAAATAAAAAGAAATAAAAAAAATTGGGAACATAAAATGGAACCACGAAGGAAACTGCGTGTTGACTTGTGTTGACTAGCAGTTCAATCGATACAAAGCGACTCTATAAAAAAGGGGGCAAAAAAGGCGTTAAAAAAGGCAAAAAATAAACAAAAAATCCAAAAAAGGGTCTGAAAAAAAGAGACAAAATAAGAGACGCCAAAAAAGACACAAAAAATGTGCACCTAGAAAAGGAGGCAAAAAAGGTAACACAAAAAATGACAAAAATACAACAAAAATGGCAAAAAAAAAACGACAAAAATAGGAAAAAAATGACGTAAAACAAGGCAACAAATGAAAGGGACAACAAAATACGATAAAACAAAGGTAATAAAAAAGGGCGACACAAAAGTACCAAGAAAAGGGACAAAAAAAACAAAGAAAGGAAACAAAAAAAGGCGAAAATTAACACGGCAAAACACCTGAAAAACGGAAACAAGGAAAAAGACTATTAAAAAGGAGCCAAAATAATACATAATAAAAAAAGGTCAAAAAAAGGCGACAAAAAATGTGACAAGAGCGAGAAAAAAAGGACAAAAAAGGCCCAAAAAACAAAAAAGACGATAATAAAAGAGGAAAAAGTACGGCAAAAAAGACGTTAAAACAGGGAGGCCAAACAGGCGTTAAAAAAAAGCAAAAAAGTGATCACAAACGACAAAAAAAAACAAAAAATGGGGCCCAAAAGACACAAACATGTTATAAAAAGCAACAAAAAAAGATAATTAAAAAAGGCGAACAACTTAGGTAAGAAAAAAGACGAACAGAAAGGGGCCTAAAAAGGGGACATAACAAAAGGAGTCGACGGATTAAGCAACAAAAAAGAGAATTAAATCCAACACAAAAAGGCACGAAGAAAATTTCAAAATGGAGACCATAAAAACATAAAAAGTTTAAAAAAACGACAAAAAGCGGCAAAATGAAAGGATAAGAAAGGGACTTAAAAAAGGAACAAAATAAACTGGGCCAAAAAGAACGGCAAAAAACGATCAATAAGGACAAAAACACGAAAAATTGCGGCAAAAAAAGACTATAAAAAAATAGGCTCAAAAATGGAGAAAACAAATATAGCCCAAAAAAAGCGGGAAGAAAAAGAAGACAAAAGACGATAAAAGGACCTAATAAAGGGAACAATAAAAATCTATTTAAAAAGGGGTTAAAAAAGGCACCGAAAAAAACGATAAAAAAAAGGACTCAAAAAAGGGAGTTATAATAAAAGAAGCCGAAAAACAATAAAAATAGCGACAAAAAATATGATCAAAATAAGGACAAAAAAGGGCCTACAAAAGGGAAACAAAAAAGACCATACAAAAGGAGCAAAAAAAAAACGAAAAAAAGTAGGAAAAAGACCACAAAAAAATTACCAAAAACCGCAAAAGAAGGTAAGAAAAATACGAACAAAAAGGGGTCTAAAAAGGGGAGATAACAAAAGGAGTTGAAAGAAAAGCATCAAAAAACAGGCCTAAAAAGAACAAAAAAAAACGCGAAGAAAAGTGCAAAAAAATTAAAAAGGCGATAAAAAGGGCCTAAAAAGGAAACAATAGAAAACTACTTAAAAAGGAGTTAAAAAAGGTATCAAAAATCGCGAAAAATTGAGGCAAAAAGACGATAAAAAAGGGGAAAAAAAGGGGGTTACAATAACAGAGCCGAAAAACCAACAAAAAAGAGACCAAAAAAGAGCGACAAAAAAAGGACCCGAAATAATAACAAAAAAGGAACTTAAAAGCGACAAAAAAATCAAAAAACGAGGGCAAACCGGAACAATAAAAGACTATTCAATAAAGGATTTAAAAAGGTGCCAAAAAAAAAACAAAAAAATTGAGGCAAAAGAAGACCACAAAAAGGGGCCACAATAAAAGAAGCAGAACCAAGAAAACCAAAAAAGCGATCAAAAAACAAAAAATTTCCTAAAAAAGGATAACAAAAAAGAACCCAAAAACGGGACCAAAAAAAGCGGCAAAAAAACGACCAAAAAACGACAACAGAGATCAAAAAGTAGAGGGGCAAAACGGCACAAAAAAATGCGAAAAGAGACCAAAAAAATGGGAACACAAAAATGCGAAAATGCGGTAAATAAAAGACGATAAAAAATGAGACTTAATAAAAGGAGCCGAAAAAATTACAAAAAAAGGGACTAATGGAACTAAAAGAGGAACAATGGAAAAAGAGCTTAAAAAAAAGAGAAAAAAGCGGCAAAAAAATACGACAAAAAAAAACACAAAAACTGACAAAAAAATCAAAAAAAGAAGGCAACAAAAAAGGTTTCAAAGGTGAAAAAAGCAATAAAAAGGGCCCAAAAATAGGAACAATAGAAAACTATTCAATAAGGGGTTTAAAAAGGTGCCAAAAAAAAAACAATTGAGGCAAAAAACGACCACAAAAAAAGGTACCACAATAAAAGGAACCGAAAGAGCGACAAAAAATGGCCCAAAAAAAGGATAATGAAAAGACCCCAAAAACAAGACCAAAAAATGTGGCAAAAAAACGACACAAAAAAAAACGACGAAAACGACAATAAAAAAGCAAAAAGTAGGGGGACAACAAGGCACAAAAAAGGCGAAAAATTGGGCCAAAAAATGGTTTACAATAACAGAGCCGAGAAACCAACAAAAAAGGGACCAAAAAAAGATCATAAAAAAAGAAACAAAAAACCTGCAAAAGAGATAAAAAAAAGTGGAAAAAAAGCGGCAAAAAGACCACAAAAAAAACGACAACAAAAAGCAAAAATTAGGGGGGTAAAAAGGCACAAAAAAGGCGAAAAGAGACCAAAAAAATGAGAACACAAAAATGCGAAAATGCGGTAAAAAAAGCCAACAAAAAAATGGGATTTAATAAAAGAAGCCGCAAAAACAACAAAAAAGGGACTAAAAAGCGACAAAAAAGATGGAGTTGAAAGAGACACCATGGAAAAAGAGCTTTAAAAAAAGGGAAAAAAGCGGCAAAAAATGCGACAAAATACCACAAAAAACGACAAAAAATAAAATAAACGAAGGCAAAAAAGGTTTAAAAAGGTAAAAAAAGAAAAAAAGGGCCCAAAAAATGGGAACAATGAAAGACTACTCAATGAGGGATTTAAAAGGGTGCAAAAAAAAACAAAAAAATTGAGGCAAAAAAGACCACAAAAAGGGACCACAATAATAGGAACCGAAAGAGCGACAAAAAAATGGTCAAAAAAAAGAAGAATGAAAAGACCCCAAAAACGGGACCAAAAAGGGCGAAAAAATGTGGCAAAAAAAGATACAAAAAACGACGAAACCGACAAAAAAAAAAGCAAAAAGTAGGGGGGCAAAAAAGGCACAAAAAAAGGCGAAAAATTGAGCCAAAAATAATGATAAAAAAGGGGTCCAAAAAAAGGAGTTACAATAACAGAGCCGAAAAACCAACAAAAAAGGGACCAAAAAAGACTATAAAAAAGGCAACAAAAAAAACCTACAAAAGAGATCAAAAAAAGTGGAAAAAGCGGCAAAAAGTCCACAAAAAAAAAAACGACAACAAAAAGCAAAAATTAGGAGGGTATAAAGGCACAAAAAAGGCGAAAAGAGACCAAAAAAATGGGAACACAAAAATGCGAAAATGTGGTTAAAAAAGACGATAAAAAATGGAATTTAATAAAAGGAGTCGAGAAAACAACCAAAAAGGGACTAAAAAACGACAAAAAAAATTGAACCAAAAGGGTAAAAATGGAAAAAAAGCTTAAAAAAAAGGGAAAAAAGCGTCAAAATATGGGAAAAAAAAGAACAATAAAAAAGTAAAAAAGTTCCCAAGAAAACCAAAAAAATTGAGGGAAAAAAGACCACCACAATAAAAACAACAAAAAAGCGATCAAAAAAACAACAAGTAACAAAAACCGCCAAAAAGAGCGACAAAGATTGCCTTAATAAAAAGCGAAAAAATACGGCAAAAAACAACACAAAAAAACGACAACAAAAAGTAAAAAATTAGGGGGCAAAAGGCACAAAAAAAGGACAAAAAATGCGAACACAAAAGTGCGAAAATGCGGTAAAAAAAAACACGATAAAAAAAATGAGATTTAATAAAAGGATACGAAAAAACAACAAAAAAGGGACTAAAAAGCGACAAAAACGGTCCTAAAAGAGGAACAATCTAAAGAGAGCTTTAAAAAGGGAAAAAAGCTGCAAAAACTGGGACAAGAAAACGACAAAAAATCAAAAAACCAGGACAAAAAAGGTTAAAAAATATGAAAAAAATAAAAAGGGCCTAAAAAAGGGAACAATAGACTATTCAATAAGGGGTTACAAAAGGTGCCAAAAACAATTAGACCACAAAGAGGGGCCACAACTAGAGTTACCAAAAAACAAAAAAAAAACAACCAAAAAAAGCGAGCAAAAGAGCGATAAAAAGGGAAACAAAAAAACAAAAACGGGGCCAAAAACGCGACAAAATGCGCCAAAAAAGACGGTAAAACCAGGGTCTAAAAATGGAGACAAAATAAAAGAGGCAAAAAAAAGAAACAAAAAGCTACCAAAAACGTCAAAAAAAATAGCAAAAAACGATTAAAAAGTTGCAAAAACCAACAAAAAAGCGATAAAAAAGGCAAAATAGAGCAACAAAAACCAAAAGGTGACAACAAAATTAAAAAAAACGTCAAAAAAGGGGGACAAAGAAAACGCTGACAAAAAGGACGAAAAAAGGGATCAAAAATGGCGTCAAAAAACAAGGCGAAAAAATCGGCTAAAAGAGGTCTTCAGAAAGAAAGCAAAAAAGGCGGAAAAATTATGGAAAAAGGGCGAAAAAGAACCGACAACAAAAGAGACCGGAAAAAAGAATAAACAGTCCAAAGCAGGTGAAAAAATATTCGTCTCCCAGTTTTTTCAAATAAAATATCCTGAATTTTATTGCTGAATCTTACTCTGCTGCTTAATTTCTGTTTTTGGAAATCTGAATGAAATTAAAAAAACTATGAATTTTAGGAAGAGAGATTCAAAAATTGTGAACTCGATCTACTTTTTGCTTAATTTTTTATAGAAAATGAAAGTACCAGTAATGGAAAATAACAAACAACGACACTTCATTAGGTGAAGTTTGCTAATAATCCCTTTTTTACAAATATTATTGCAAGTACTGTTTCTGAATAACACTGAAATGAAAAGCAAGCATTTTATTTTTCTATTATTTTGTTTTTCTTGTAACATTTTATATATTTTTTTTTTATTTTTTTGTTAATATAATAGATACCATGCGATCGAAAATAAAATTTACATCGGCAGTGGTACAACCCAAAGCTTGACAGGCAACGCCAACTCTAATTAATTTTATTTGTCATCGCACGGAAGTTTTCTGAAAATTTGCCACTGTTTTCTTAACCTTACAACAGTTTTATGTTTGAATTGTAAAATTTACTTGTAAGTAAATATTTAGTGGATTCAGCTGAAATCTAGCACAAGTTACAATATATTTATCACTGGAACAACTAATTACAAAATTTTTCATGTCAGTCAGTAATAGTTACTGACCTAGAGTGTACTAAACAGTAAAAATAATTTCAATATCTAGTGACCTTGGATATTTATCCAAGTGTCTTTAATTATTTAATCAAAGATACAAAAAATTGTTTCTTCAACGACAAATAAAAATACCTCAAAATATTCTCAGTTATTACAAATAATTAACACACCTTGTAAAACGGCAGTTTAAAAATTTGTAGATTTTAATTCTCAAACACAAAAGAGAGAAAAACCTACACAAAGCAAAAAACCTACATTAAACTGCGACATCTTTTTCTCCTGATGCCCCACCATAATTTCCTTTATCCTCTCAAAATCAGCCCCACTCGTCTTCAGCACCTGTTCAACACTCGCCAGCTCCTTCTCATAATGCTCCTTCAAAACCATACTCTCACTCGCAACAATCTGCGCATTATACAAATTCAAAAACGCCTCATGCTTATCATTAACCGCCCTCTGAATAGTATTCACAAACTTCTCCTCCGACGGCAGCGGCACGCACCCCAAATACTGCAGCTTCGACTTGAGCAACAGCTCCCGCAGGACACTGCAACCAAAAAAATCATTCAAATTCATGATCATTCAAACACCGAATACGCGTTTCACGCGACAGATGGCTCTCGCCGCTACGACTCCCTACGAACCCATTTCGCGCACGCTACAAAACCGCATTCCCCCTCCACCTCGGCCTTCCTTGTCTGGGGGAGCAGAGTGTTCAATGATCAATAAGTGAGACCACTCCTGCTAGCACCCAATCAATTTAAATGATCGCACCCGCAGCCCTGCGAGTGCAATTTTTGGAAAGCCTCCTTACTTTATAGGAGGCACTCAATCAGAAAAAACACCAACCTGACTTTTCGTTTCAGTTCGTTGTCTCTGTCTGCGGCTTCAGCGGCTTTACGCTGCATCTCTGTCACTAGTTCGGCGTTTTTGTTGTTGGAGATTCGTAATTCCTCGGATAATTGCTCCATTTTGTGGGTGCAATCGGCTTCCTGCAGTCGCGAGTGTGATAATTCGCTGCTTAAACGGGCGATTTGCATCTTGTCGTCCGAAACGGCCTGCAAATCCACCAACTGATGCTTCAAACTGAGTAGTTCTTGTTCACGTTGGCTGCTACGATAAGCAGCGACTTTGGTGGAGTTCTTCAGAGACGATAATTCGTGTTGTAGATCCGTTATAGAAAGGACTAGCTTATCATTATTTTGAAGGAGAGAGTTGTATTTCGACTGAAGTGATTTGTGGGCTGCCTGATCCACGAAACTGACTAGCTTATTCTCCGCATCTTTTAACTGTTCTTGAAGAACTAAATTCTTCTGAAGAACCTCGGTGTTGTATTTGTCGATCTGCTTAAGCCGCTCTTCTGACTTCTGCAGCTGATCCTTAACCAACTCATACAAGTTATTAGTATGATTCGCCCTCTGTCTTTCACTAATTTCGCTAGCTTCCACTTTAGCTAACTTCGTAGCTAAAATTTCTAAATCCTCGTTACTTTCACCGTTGCTACAACAATAAAGCTTTTCGCACAGATTTACTACTTTATTTTCCAGTTCGTTTTTCTCGTTTTGCAAATTCTTCCTCATTTCTTCCAGCATTTTCACCTGGAAGTCTCTATCGCGTCCCATTTGTCCAAATTTGTGCAACAAATCCCTATACTTGACGGTCAAACCCTCAAAATTGCCCTTCAGTTCTGCGTAATCACTGGAATCAACGCCAAATTTCACCTGATTTGTCAAAACTTCGACTGAATTGATCAACGTTTTGTTCTTCTGCGACAAATCGTGAATCTTTTTCAAACAAGTGGCCTCTGCACTGGTTAGATCGTTTTGTAAATTAGTAACCTGCAAAGTTAACCTCGTTATGTCGTTTTCGAGGTAAGCGCGTTTTCTATTGAGGACGATATTGTCTTCGGCTAGTTGAAGCGATTTCGTGACTAAAGCGTCATCTGCAGATGCTTCTGGTACAACTAAAGCTAGTTTTTTCTCTTTAATACTGTTAGCTTCTTCCAAGTCCATTATTCGTTCTTCGTATTCCGAAAGTTTGTCAATTAAGTTTTGTTTTTCGTTTAGATATTCTTGATATAGTAAGTCGATTTGTAGACGAATTTCTTCAAAATTGTTCTGATAGGTTACAAGTTTGGCTTCAATTTCTGCATTGTTCGTCGTATCGTCTTCCAGTTTCTAAAAATCAACGATAATTCTGAAATTTAACAAATTCGTATTTACCATAAAAAGATCTTGTAGGGTTTGGTGAATACTGTTAATAGTGGCAAGATCAGCCCCTGAAATCGTGTTGGCAAGACTGGTGTCTACCACGTCTCCACTTCTCTCAGATATGCTTCTAGCTGATAACGACTCTAATCTAACCAATCGCAGTTGTTCCCTAAGTTCGGCATTAACTCCTTCTTGGTTGTGTAATTCCGCTTGAAGTCTCATTGCAGGGTGGTACCACCCCGAAATGTGCTTAACATCCAAAGCTCTCAGTAGCTTCTCAAAAGTTTCACATTTTACTTCCTTTAAGCTCGATTCTAAAGAAAAATTGTTACTTTAGGGAAGACACAAAGCCTAAAGTACCTTTTCTCGAGTTGAGACTGTCCATAATTTCGTGCATTCCTTTTCTCAAAGCTTCATTCTCTTCCACTAAGACCTTAATTTGATCCTTAGTGGAAACATCGTGGTCCTGCGACCTATAAGTATCAGGTTTCTCTTCGCTTTGTTCCGGGAGCCGTTTCTGCTCATGAAGTTTCATCTTCAGTTCAAGTTTGTCTTCTTCTAGTTTTTGTACCAATTTTTTCAGCGACTGGAATTCTTTCTTTTGTTGTTTCTGCTTGGCTGAGACACTACTAGTACTGACGACTTCGTCGACTGCAATTCCCAGTTTATCCCTACAAGAGTGACATTACAAGTTCGTGACCGGACAACTCGCGACCAGTGTATACCTCAGCGCTTCGTTTTCCTTCTCATACAAGTCACACGAATCTTGCAGCTTATTGGACGCCTTAACTAAATTCATGATTTGTTTTTCCTGGACTCGATTCTGACCCTTCAGTTGTTGAATTTCCTCGAAAACGTCTGACAACTCCGTCTGACCTTTCTCCTTCAACTTCGTCAATATTTGTTGGATCTGAAGCATAAAAAACACTGAATACAACATAGACTGGACATACAAACTCACGTCGTTTTCCTTCTTGACGACTAACTGTTCAGCGTGTGTTAAATCGTTTTGCAAATCTTGACACCGCTCGTGGGTCGATTTTAGCTGTTTTTTGAATTCTTTAACCGACTGTGATAAGTCGTTAATTGTTCTCTCGTTTTCTGTTTTGTTGTCTTTGAGTTGTTGCATCGACGCTGTTGTTTCCTCCATCTCTTTGACCGCTTCCTGGAGCTGCGTTTTCACTTCGAGCAGTTGTTTCTCTCGTTCTAGTAGAACTTTGCTGAGGGCGGAAACTTGCGTCTGTTCGTTGTCTTGAGGGATGCTGGACATGGAAGAGTGGTGGCTTGGTGGTATCTGACGTGAACGCAGATCATTTATCTCTTTTTCTTTTTCTTCGAGTATTTTCTACAAACAAATGAAATGAGAAACAATAAATTTTGAATTTTTAATCACCTTCCACTCGTCCACTCTGAGATTGACTTCTTCGGTGAATTCCTCCATTTCTTGTTCGAACTGACGTTTCTGTTCCAAAATGTCTCGTATTTCTTCTTGTAAATTTTCATTCTCGGCAGTCAGTTTCTTTACGTTTTCTGTTAGAAAATAGCGTTTAAATCACATATTGTGTTTATTTAAAAACACCAGGCCACTTTTGGCGCGAAAATTTGAAGATGACAAGCTCTAGCGACTCACTTCAATACTAAATAAATACACTAACATTTATTGAAAAATCAAGTGGTCTGAAAACAGCACTGTAGGACTTTTATAAAAGTTTCGTCTATCTAGTGAGCGGTGGAATTTACAAATGCTGCAGATTTGCCGCTTCTTACTAATTAAATTTTACTTCCCGAGCATACCCTAAGGAAGTACTGTTTTAGGGTACGTCCATCTGATGAATGGCTACTTTCATGTTTTTTCGATGTCATCAAACTCCCACACGTGTAGTTTACGAATCCGCTTGAGATTTTACTGAGATATTCAGATTTTTGGAAAAAAGTCAAAATTTTAATTTTTCCAATTTTTTAAATTTTACATTTTTCGAATTTTCAATTTCTCGATTAATCGATTTGTTGATTTTTCGACTTTCCGATTTAGGTACCGATTTTTCGATTTCTCTGTTTGTCGATTTCTCAAGATTTTGATGTTTCAGTTTTGGGATTTTTAAATTTTAGATTTTTCGAATTTTCAATTTTTCAATTTTTTGATGTTTTGATTTCTCGATTGTTCCAATTTTCTGATTCTTAGTTTTTCAATATGTATTTCAATTTTTCGAAGTTCTAAATTTTAGATTTTTCACTTTTTTGATGTATCGATTTCTCAATTTTCGGATATTTTAATTTTATGAGATTTTGATTTTACGACTTTCCGATTTCTCAACTATTCGATTTTTCGACTTTCCGATTTCCCGATTTTTCAATTTTTCAATTTGCCGATTTCTCAACTTTTCGATATTATTATGGTGTTTTAAGGATTTGAGGATTATGATATTCCGCAGATTTGAGGATTATAGTATTCCGTGGATTTGAGGATTATCGTGTTTTGAGAATTTTAGGATTATAATATTTTGGGAACTTCCTGATTATCGTGTTCTGAGGATTTGAGGATTAACGTGTTTTGAGGATTTAAGGATTATAGTGTTTTGAGGATTTGAGGATTATCGTGTTTTGAGGATTTAAGGATTATGGTGTTTTGAGGATTTGAGAATTATGATGTTCTGGGGATTTGAGAATTATTGTGTTCTGAGGATTTGGGGGTTTTTGTTTTTAGGATTTGAGAATTAAGGTGTTCTAAGGATTTGAGGATAATTCGAATTTTTGATGTGTGGATTTCTCGATTATTCAGTTTTTTGTTTCTATATTTTCGGATATTTTAGTTTTATGATTTTTCAATGTTTGGTGTTTCAAAATTTTCGATTTTAGTCGATTTTTTTATTTTTGGACGTTCCAATTTCTCAACTTCGAGTTTTCAACTTTCCGATGTCCGAATTCTCTATTTGCCAATTTGTCAAGTTTTCGGTGTACATATCAGTTTTTGGATTTTTCAATTTTTCGGTTTTTCAACTTTTTCATTTTTAATTTAATCAATTTTTTAAATTTTAGATTTTTCGAATTTTCAATTTTTCAATTTTTTGATGTTTTGATTTGTCGAATGTTCAATTTTCTGTTCTTTAGTTTTTCAATATGTATTTCAATTTTTCGAATTTTTAAATTTTAGATTTTTCACTTTTTTGATGTTTCGATTTCTCAATTTTCGGATAATTTAGTTTTATGAGATTTTGACTTTACGACTTTTCGATTTCTCAACTATTCGATTTTTCGACTTTCCGATTTCCCGATTTTTCAATTTACCGATTTTCAAATTTTCGATATTATTATGGTGTTTTGAGGATTTGAGGATTCTGGTATTCTGTGGATTTGAGGATTATCGTGTTTTGAGGATTTGAGGACTATAGTATTTTGGGAACTTCCTGATTATCGTGTTATGAGGATTTGAGGATTATGCTGTTCTGAGGATATGAAGGTTATGGTGTTCTGAGGATATGAGGATTATAGTATTTTGAGTGTTTCAGGATTACGGTGTTCTGACTATTTGAGGATTATAGTGTTCTGAGAATTTGAGGATTATGGTGTTCTGAGAATTTGAGGAATATGGTGTTCTAAGGATTTGCGAATTATGGTGTTCTAAAGATTTGAGGATTATGGTGTTTTGAGGATTGCAGGATTATGGTATTCTGAGCATTTGAGGATTTTGCTATTTTGAGGATTTGGGGATTATGGTGTTTTGATGATTTGAGGATCATGGTGTTTTGCGGATTTAAAGATGGTGGTATTTTGAGAATTTGAGAATTATTTTCTTTTGAGGATTTAAGGATCATGGTGTTTTGGGGATTTGAGGGTTATGGTGTTCTGAGGATTTGAGGATTATAGTGCTGTAAGGATTTGACGGTTATAGTGTATTCAGGATTTGAGAATTAAGGTGTCCTAAGGATTTGAAGATTTTTCGAATTTCTGATGTTTTGATTTTTCGATTGTTCAGTTTTTTGTTTCTAAATTTTCGATTTTTCGACTTCTCTATTTGCCGATTTGTCAAGTTTTCGATGTACATATCAGTTTTTGGATTTTTCAATTTTTCGTTTTTTCGACTTTTTAATTTTTTCAATTTTTGAAATTTTAGATTGTTCGAATTTTCAATTTCTCGATTAATCGATTTTTTGATTTTTCGACTTTTCGATTTTTCGACTTTCGGATTTAGCGACTTTTCGATTTCTCTATTTGCCGATTTCTCAAGTTTTCGATTTTTCAGTTTTGAGATGTTTCAATTTTTCGGTTTTTCGACTTTTTAATTTTAAATTTTTTTGATGTTTTGATTTCTCGATTGTTCAATTTTCTGATTCTTTAGTTTTTCAATATGTATTTCAATTTTTCGAATCTTTAAATTTTAGATTTTTCACTTTTTTTGATGTTTCGATTTCTCAATTTTCGGATATTTTAATTTTGTGAGATTTTGATTTTACGACTTTTTGATCACTCAACTATTCAATTTTTCGACTTTCCGATTTCCCGATTTTTCAATTTTTCAATTTGCCGATTTCTCAAGTTTTCGATATTATTATGGTGTTTTGAGGATTTGACAATCATGGTATTCTGTGGCTTTGAGGATTATCGTGTTATGAGGATTTAAGAATCATGGTGTTTTGAGGATTTAAGGATCATGGTGTTTTGGGGATTTGAGGATTATGGTGTTCTGATGATTTGAGGACTATAGTGCTGTGAGGATTTGACGATTATTGTGTTTTCAGGATTTGAGAATTAAGGTGTTCTAAGGATTTGAGGATTTTTCGAATTTCTGATGTTTTGATTTTCCGATTGTTCAGTTTTTTGTTTCTAAATTTTCGATTTTTCAATTTCTCGATTAGTCGATTTTTTAATTTTTCGACTTTTCGATTTCTCTACTTCGTTTTTTCGACTTTCCGATGTCCCGATTTTTCGGCTTCTCTATTTGCCGATTTGTCAAGTTTTCGATGTACATATCAGTTTTTGGATTTTTCAATTTTTCGTTTTTTCGACTTTTTCATTTTTAATTTTTTAAATTTTTCGAATTTTCAATTTCTCGATTAATCCGTTTTTTGATTTTTCGACTTTCGGATTTATCGTCTTTTCGATTTCTCTATTTGCCGATTTCTCAAGTTTTCGATTTTTCAGTTTTGAGATGTTGCAATTTTTCGGTTTTTCGACTTTTTAATTTTTAATTTTTTTGATTTTTTTTTTGATGTTTTGAGTCCTCGATTGTTCAATTTTCTGGTTCTTTAGTTCTTCAATATGTATTTCAATTTTTCGAACTTTTAAATTTTAGATTTTTCACTTTTTTGATGTATCGATTTCTCAATTTTCGGATATTTTAGTTTTATGGTTTTTCAATTTTTGGGGTTTCTAAATTTTCGATTTTTCAATTTCTCGATTAATCGATTTTTGATTTTTCGACTTTTATTTTTCGACATTCCGATTTCCCAATTTTTCGATTTCTCAATTTTCGAATATTTTAGTTTTATGAAATTTTGACTTTACGACTTTTCGATTTCTCAACTATTCGATTTTTCTACTTTCCGATTTCCCGATTTTTCAATTTTTCAATTTGCCAATTTTCAAATTTTCGATATTATTATGGTGTTTTGAGGATTTGAGGATTCTGGTATTCTGTGGATTTGAGGATCATCGTGTTTTGAGGATTTGAGGAATATAGTATTTTGGGAACTTCCTGACTATCGTGTTCTGAGGATTTGAGGATTATGGTGTTCTGAGGATTTGAGGATTATCGTGTTTTGAGGATTTAAGGATTATGGTGTTTTGAGGATTTGAGAATTATGATGTTTTGGGGATTTGAGAATTATGGTGTTCTGAGGATTTGAGGATTATGGTGTTCTGCGAATTTGGGGATTATAATGCTCTGACGATTTGGGGGTTTTTGTTTTTAGGATTTGAGAATTAAGGTGTTCTAAGGATTTGAGGATTATTCGAATTTTTGACGTTTGGATTTCTCGATTGTTCAGTTTTTTGTTTCTATATATTTGGATATTTTAGTTTTATGATTTTTCAATGTTTGGTATTCTGAGCATTTGAGGATTTTGCTCTTTTGAGGATTTAAGGATCATGGTGTTTTGGGGATTTGAGGATTTTGCTGTTCTGAGGGTTTGAGGATGATCGTGTTTTGGGAATTTGAGAATTAAAATGTTCTGAGGATTTGAGGATTTTAGAATTGTGGTGTTCTAAAGATTTGAGAATTAAGGTGTAAGGATTTGAGGTTTATGCTGTTGTGAGAATTTGAGGATCATGGTGTTCTGAGGATTTGAGGATTTTAGAATTATGGTGTTCTAAAGGTTTGAGAATTAAGGTGTTCTAAAAATTTGAGTATTATGGTGTTGTGAGAATTTAAAGATTGTGGTGTTCTGAGGATTTGACAATTATGGAATTTTGAGAATTTGAGAACCATCATGTTTTGAGAATTTGAGGATTATGGTGTTTTGGGGATTTGAGAATTACTGTGGCGGCAGAATAACACATCGGTAAGCAGAGAAAGATAAGTGGCCTCGTGGTCTAGTGGTTAGGATACTTGCCCGGAGAGCGAGAGGCGTGGGGTTCGAATCCCACCGAGGCACAACATTTTTCTCCGCTTACCTACAGTGGTGTTCTAAGGATTTGACGATTATGGTGTTTTGAGGAATCGAGAATTATGGTGTTCTGAGAATCTAAGGATTATCGTGTTTTGAGGAGCTGAAAATTATGTTGTTCTGAGTATTTGAGAATTATGGTGTTTTGCGAATTTGAGGATTAAGATGTTCTGAGGATTTGAGGATTAAAAAGTTCTGAGGATTTGAGGATTTTAGAATTATGGTGTTCTAAAGATTTGAGAATTAAGGTGTTCTAAGGATTTGAGGATTATGGTGTTGTGAGAATTTAAGGATTATGGTGTTCTGAGAATTTGAGGATTTTGGAATTTTGAGAATTTGAGGATCATGGTGTTCTGAGGATTTGAGGATTAAGATGTTCGGAGGATTTGAGGATTTTAGAATTATGGTGTTCTAAAGATTTGAGAATTAAGGTGTTCTAAAGATTTGAGCATTATGGTGTAGTGAGAATTTAAAGATTATGGTGTTCTTAGGATTTCATTTGGCAATTATGGAATTTTGAGAATTTGAAAACCATCATGTTTTGAAGAATTGAGGATCATGGTGTTTTGAGAATTTAAGGATTATGGTGTTCTGAGAATTTGAGGATTATGGAATTTTGAGAATTTGAGGCTCATGGTGTTCTGAAGATTTGAGGATTAAGATGTTCTGAGGATTTGAGGATTTTAGAATTATGCTGTTCTAAAGATGAGAATTAAGGTGTTCTAAAGATTTGAGGATTATGGTGTTATGAGAACTTAAAGATTATGGTGTTCTTAGGATTTGACAATTATGGAATTTTGAGAATTTGAAAACCATCATGTTTTGAAGAATTGAGGATCATGGTGTTTTGAGAATTTAAGGATTATGGTGTTCTGAGAATTTGAGGATTTTGGAATTTTGAGAATTTGAGGATCATGGTGTTCTGAGGATTTGTGGATTAAGATGTTCTGAGGATTTGAGGATTTTAGAATTATGGTGTTCTAAAGATTTGAGAATTAAGGTGTTCTAAAGATTTGAGGATTATGGTGTTATGAGTACTTAAAGATTATGGTGTTCTGATGATTTGACAATTATGAAATTTTGAGAATTTGAAAACCATCATGTTTTGAGGAATTGAGGATCATGGTGTTTTGAGAATTTGACGATTATGGTGTTCTGAGGATCTGAGGATAATGGTGTTCTAAGAATTTTGGGATTATGGTGTTCTGAGTGTTCTAACGTAAAGATAATAAAACGCTAACTAAAAATAAGAACGTTTACGAATGAATTGTCAATGAGATTACTTAGGTTTGTTTTATTATAATAATCCTACAGGTATCCCTGTGAAGCTAATTTATTTTGCAAAGACAGTGAGCACATGCAAGTTGGTGGAGTCTCATCTTTTTTTATTTTTTTTTATACGTAGAATTTTTTTATACGCTGCCTCGCAAAATTAACGCAAAATTTTAAAATTTTATTTTTTTTAGATAATCTTGTTATTTTTTCCACTCTGGTCCCTAATTCGTAATTACTAAATCAAATATAGAAATTCTAGAAAAAAAATCGACAAAAACAACAAACTAATAATGATTTGGAACCAAAATTGCAAGAAACCAAAAAATAGCATCTTTTTTTATCACTATCACCTGACCTGACCGAACCTGACGTGGGAAGTACTGTATAAGTTTTTAGACCGATTTTTTTTAAGTTGTAATTAATATAATTAATGGCTGCGCATGCGCAATAATTCAAAGAAAACCCTTATCCATAACACGCATGCGCAGGAATTCAAATGATTGCGCCAAAGTGGCATCAAACCCCACTACATAACTACTTTTAACACTTTACTAACCAAGAGATTCTTCCTGATCGATTTTAGAAGCTTTAAAATTTTCAGTCAGCGACGTCAGTTCTTTCGTAGCTGTGGAAAGTTCGTCTCTGACAGTCGTCAGTTTTTCGCGTAAAATTACATTGTCTTGTTCAGTTGCCTACAACACAATTATCATTTTTGAACCAATCTGACGAACTTACCTCACCTCTATATCCCGCAACAAATCAGAAATTTGCTTATTCTTGACATGCACAGTATTCACCAGCTCTTTATGTTGTTCCTTCACGGTTTCTGACACATCTGACCGCGTATCATCCTGACTGGCTACCTGTAACTCGCTAATTAAGCGATTCTTCTCTTGTTCTAAATTAGTAACCTTCTTTTGAAGCTACAAAATTATTTAAAACAAAATACAAACCCCGAAAACGCTTTCCTAAATTCATACCTTACTAATTTCGTTCGAATTCTTCTCATTTATGCGCCCTTGCTTCTTGTATTTGCTTTTCAACTCTAGATATTTTTGTTCTAGATCTAGAAAACAATCCAATTAGGGTGGTGACGCAAATCTTGCAAAGTATACTCACTTTCAAGCTCTATAGAACTCGATTTTCGCGACCTGCTACTTCTTACTTCTGTATCAGACTCAATTCTTCTACCTTCTTCCTCCCCTTGTTGGGTCGCCAACTCGTCTAACTTGTGCAACAAAACCTCCACTTGCTCCCCTTTGTACTTCAGCACTTCCTGTGTAATTTTAATAACCGTGACGCACTTCTTCACACTTAAATCTTCACCGTCGCAGTTAAACCAGGTCACTGTGTTGTACAACCCGTCTTTTTCTTCCTCGCTGAGGTCTTCAGGAGTTAGCGAAAAGAGGTAATTCCAGTCCATTATTAAACGTAACGATGAAATATGGCTCAACTTTGACAATGTTGTCTTTGTTTATATGCGTTGCTAGGAGACTCGGGACAATACAAACAAAACGAAAATTTTTATTTGGAGGGAAATTTGACTTTGTCTAAGTCATGTATTGTGTTCTAAAGTATATCGGTGAGTATTTTCGGTGTTTTTGGGTTTGCTAAATTCGCTTTTTGTAGATTATCTGCATTATAAGAGATACCTGAATGAGTCAGTTTCGACTTTAAAAAGCATACGGTCTACAGAGGCCGATCCGTATAACACGAAGCTGTACTTTAATCCGAACTGCATTCTTCAGCTGATACTGGATTATATATGCACTGAAGCGCATATAAATATAGACGGTGAGCTAAAACGGTGCAGTTTCGGGGTACGAAAAGTACTGTTTTCCTCCCTAATGTGGACAATAATTTTTGCAGGTGATCATTATGACTTGTGTAATATAAACGGCGAATTGTTGCATATTCAGGACTACAAACCTACAATCAACGGTTTGACTATTTTTCATCCAAGAGAGAGATATTTTATTGTTGTCATCAGACGTAAGTAGATATTTAAAAAAAATTGATCTTTCATATCAGGTTAGGAAATGAGACTAAGACCGAGATTGAAGAAATCGCACCAATGTTGAACCCAAATAGTGACATTTGCGCTATACTTGTTAACAACATAAAAGGGCAAAATATTACTAGGAGAAGGTCAACTACACTAAGGGTAGCTCACACTTGTGAATCATTATTATTATTATTATTGATTTTTTTTTAGCCAAAAAGCAGTACCGCCAGCAAACGCTCGCACGGTTCTAAAACAAGCAATAGTTCCAAAAGTAAAAGACCGCCCAGTGCAAATATTTAAAACAGTACTTTTTATTCCTTACACTATTTTTCATATTTACAAATAAATTTTACAGCTTGCTTTTAGTTTCAAACTCCTTTTCCCACGTCTTTAGATCTTTTTCTCTTAAATTGGTAGATTTCCCGTGCCGTCCTACTCCACTCACGAACTTTTTGGCCCCGGGAATCGACTCAGAAGCAACCACTTTTAAGCCATTGGTCTGCTCATACTTAAGTAGATCATGATAAGCGGAATTAAAAGCCGCGTTGTAAGTGGACGTTCTGTCAGTCAACATACACTGCTGCGGAAATTTAGTCAAGGAAGCGGCGAGTTGAATCGCCTGTCCTAGAGCTAACCACACCACGTTAAAAAAATAAAACCACAACTACAATCATAGAAAAAATTACCTGTACCGCAAGCGACAATCCTGTTTGCAACCCCCCACTCCAGCGCTTCTTTGGCACCGAGGGAGCGACCCGTCAAAATTAAATCCATCGCTCTGGACAACCCCACCATGGCTTGCAGCCTAACGGTGCCCCCGTCCATCAAAGGCACCCCAAATCTTCGACAATACACACCCATGACGGCGTTCTCTTCCATCACGCGTAAGTCGCACATTAAAGCCAACTCTAAACCCCCTGCCACTGCATACCCGCTCACCGCAGCCACCATCGGTTTTTTAATATAGCGAAGCGTTGGCCCCTTTAACACAATGTTGTTCAATGTTATAAAAATGCGTGGTCTGCAGCTACCATTTGTCCCTCTTCGTGAATACCGGCGTCAGGGCTTGCGTCCATTTCGGACAACGCTTTCAAGTCAAACCCAGCGCAAAAGTTGCCCCCGTTTCCGTAGAGAACTGCCACCCGGAGGCTGTCATCGTTTTCGAAGTCTTCGATCGCTTTGCTGAGCTGTCTCGCGGTGCTGGGGTCCACGCAGTTGCGTTTCTCGGGCCGGTTTATGCCGATTGTGACGATTTCGCCGAGTTTTTCGGTCAGGATCGCTAAAATAATAAAGTGAGGTTAGGTTGAACTATTATTTTAAAGTATTGTAATACTTTTGGGGGCTGTGCTGTATTGTCGCATCATTAAGGTGGTGATTCTTCGAGCCATTCAACTGCTTTATCACATAGTTTTTATATATATTCACGAACTTTGTACTTTTATCACTTGTCACTTTGTTTGCAAAACATAACCTCGAGATTAAGTTGTTTTTGTTGGGGCAGTTGAACTAAAAATATGTTTAAAGGATAAACGAAACTAATTGTTTTTTAAAACAGTCAGAAAAGTGTAATTTTGTTAATTTCGACCAAAAATAAAAAAATTACAACGTATTGATGTATTACATAAAATTTGATTTTCCAAAAAAAAAGGTGTAATAACGTGTTTGTCTCCTAGGTTTAGTTGGAGATGGCAGGAGATGAAAAAAAATCCACTTCGAAAAATCCTGAAAATTCAAATTGATTAGATTAATTTCCCCATCCGTGCCGACCAATCACAACAAAGTACATCGGCGCTAAATTCAAACTGGCCGAATATTATTGCTTTCATCTGTGTGATCTGAGCATTTTTTAAATTCGCATCGATTTTTGAAGTTTTTAATATTCTTAGCTTTTCGATTTTTGGATTTCTCAGTTTTTCGATTTTTATTTTCGAGTTCTAGCTTTTTTTAATTTTTTGTTGTCGATTTTTCAGTTTCTGGATTTTTATTTCTTCAGTTAAATTTTCAGTTGTTTTTTCAATTACCGAAGTTTTCAGTTTCTCAAGTTTTAATATTACAATTTTTAAATTTCTCGGTGTTTCAAGTTTCGTTTTTTCTATTTTTGATTTTCGATTTTGCAATTGTTCGATTTTTCTGTTTTTTAAATTTTCAGGGTTTTCATTTTTAAGGTTGCAATTTTCCCTTTTCCAATTGTTGACCTCTTAATTATTCGATTTTGAGTTTCTTTATTTTTTCAATTCTTCGATATCTCAATTAAATTATTGGGTTTTTCAGTGTTTCTTTATCGGTTTTTCACTTTTTTAAATTTTTTTATTTTTCAATTATTCAGTTTTAATAAATTTGCCCGTTTGTTGAAACATTAAAAAACGAAAAATTGAGAAAATGAAAAATTAAAAATAAAGTACTTCTAAGTGGGTAATTCCAAATTATTTTATTTCTTCGATTTTTTGATTTCTCAATTCGGGATTTTTATATTTTTCGTTTTTTTAATTGATAATTTTTCGACTTTCCCGTGTTTCGTTTTTACATTTTTACATTTCTCCATTTTTTAGTTTTTCGATTTTCATTATGAAATTGTTGGATTTTTCAGTAAAATTTTTGTATTTTTCGATTTTTCCATTTAAAGATTTTTTGTTTTTTGATTTTTCAATTGCTGGTTTTTCTTTATCCGATTTTTTTTATTTGTTCAATGTTTCGTTTTTTTTTTAATTTTTGAGTTTTCGATTTGTTAATTTTACAGTTTTTCCATGTTTATTTTGTCATTTTTGGATTTATCAATTTGCATTTTTTGTATTTTTCGATTTTTTAGTGTTTAGATATTTTAATTTTTCGATTCTTTAGCTTTTGAATTTTACAATTTGTCGATTTTTCTATTTCTAGAAAACTTTGTTTTTCGATTTTACAGTTTCTTGTTTTTCAATTTTTCAAATTTTCAGTAGTTTTTTCAATTATCGAAGTTTCCGTTTCTCAAGTTTTAAAATTACAATTTTTAAATTTCTCGGTGTTTCAAGTTTCGTTTTTTCTATGTATTTTTGATTTTCAATTTTGCAATTGTTCGATTTTTCTGTTTTTTAAGTAGTCAGGGTTTTCATTTTTGAGGTTACAATTTTCCCTTTTCCAATTGTTGACCTCTTAATTCTCTTAATTATTTCTTTGTTTTTTCAATTCTTCGATATGTCAATTAAATTGTTGGGTTTTTCACTGTTTCTTTCTCGATTTATCAGTTTTTAATTTTTTGATTTTTCAATTTTTCAGTTTTAATAAATTTGCGCTTTTGTTGAAAAATTAAAAAACGAAAAATTGAGAAAATAAAAAATTTGAAACAAAGTACTTTTAAGTGGGTAATTCCAAATTATGTTGTTTCTTCAATTTTTTGATTTCTCAATTCGGGATTTTTATATTTTTCGTTTTTTTGATTGATAATTTTTCGACTTTTCCGTGTTTCGTTTTTACATTTTTACATTTCTCCATTTTTTAGTTTTCCGATTTTCATTATGAAATTGTTGGATTTTTCAGAAAATTTTTGTATTTTTCGATTTTTCCATTTGAAGATATTTTTATTTTTTGATTTTTCAATTGCTCGTTTTTTCGTTATCCGATTTTTTTTATTTGTTCAATGTTTCGTTTTTTTTTTTTTAATTTTTCAGTTTTCGATTTTTTAATTTTACAGTTTTTCGATGTTTATTTTGTCATTTTTGGATTTTTCAATTTACATTTTTTGTATTTTTCGATATTTTGGTGTATAGATATTTTAATTTTTCGATTCTTCAACGTTTGAATTTTACAATTTGTCGATTTTTCTATTTGTAGAAAACTTTGTTTTTCGATTTTACAGTTTCTTGTTTTTCAATTGTTCAAATTTTCAGTAGTTTTTTCAATTATCCAAGTTTTCAGTTTCTCAAGTTTTGAGATTACAATTTTTAAATTTCTCGGTGTTTCAAGTTTCGTTTTTTCTATTTTTGATTTTCAATTTTGCAATTGTTCGATTTTCTTGTGATTTAAATTTTCAGGGTTTTCATTTTTAAGGTTACAATTTTCCCTTTTCCAATTGTTGACCTCTTAGTTATTCGATTTTGAGTTTCTTTATTTTTTCAGTTCTTCGATACCTCAGTTTTTTTATTGTTGGGTTTTTCAGTGTTTCTTTTTCGGTTTTTCAGTTTTTTTGATTTTTTGACTTTTCAATTTTTCAGTTTTAATAAATTTGCCCTTTTGTTGAAAAATTAAAAAACGAAAAATTGAGAAAATGAAAAATTAAAAATAAAGTACTTCTAAGTGGGTAATTCCAAATTATTTTGTTTCTTCGATTTTTTGATTTCTCAATTCGGGATTTTTATATTTTTTGTTTTTTAATTGATAATTTTTCGACTTTTCCGTGTTTCGTTTTTACATTTTTACATTTCTCCATTTTTAGTTTTTCGATTTTCATTATGAAATTATTGGACTTTTCAGTAAAATTTTTGTATTTTTCAATTTTTCCATTTAAAGATATTTTTGTTTTTTCATGTTTATTTTGTCATTTTTGGATTTTTCAGTTTGCATTTTTTGTATTTTTCGATTCTTCAACTTTTGAATTTTACAATTTGTCGATTTTTATATTTCTAGAATACTTTGTTTTTCGATTTTACAGTTTCTTGTTTTTCAATTTTTCAAATTTTCAGTAGTTTTTTCAATTATCGAAGTTTTCAGTTTCTCAAGTTTTGAGATTACAATTTTTAAATTTCTCGGTGTTTCAAGTTTCGTTTTTTCTATTTTTGATTTTCAATTGTTGGATTTTTCAGTGTTTCTTTTTCGATTTTTCAGTTTTTAGTTTTTTAATTTTTTGATTTTTCAATTTTTCAGTTTTAATAAATTTGCTCTTTTGTTAAAAAATTAAAAAACGAAAAATTGAGAAAATGAAAAATCAAAAATAAAGTACTTCTAAGTGGGTAATTCCAAATTATTTTGTTTCTTCGATTTTTTGATTTCTGAATTCGAGATTTTTATATTTTTCGATTTTTCCGTGTTTCGTTCTTACATTTTTACATTTCTCATTTTTTCGATTTTCATAATGAAATTGTTGGATTTTTCAGTAAAATTTTTGTATTTTTCGATTTTTTGATTTGTAGAGATTTTAATTTTTCGATTTTCTAATTTGTTTTTTAATTTTCCGATTTTCTATCTGTTGAATTTTACAATTTTTCGTTTTTTCGATTTTTAGTTAATCACTTTTCAGGTTTCAATGTTACAAATTTTAGATTTTACAATTTCTATCTTTCTCTCAGTTGTTCCATTTTTTAATTGCTTTTTCGTTACCCAATATTTTCAATTTTTCGATATTTCAAGTTTGGTTTTTCAATTTTTGATTTTCAATTTTTCATGTCTTCTTTTTATTATTCAATTGTACAATTTTTTTAATTTTTCCATGTTTCGTTTTTAGAATTTCTTAATTTTTTACTTTTCCGGTTTTCATTTTAAAATTTTTGGATTTTGAAATTAATTGTTTTCTGTATTTTTATTATTTAATTTATAGAAATTTTTGGTTTTCGTTTTTTCAATGTTTCACTTTCTCGATTTTTAATTAATCAAAGTTTTCAGGTTTGAATATTACAATTTTTCGATTTTTCAATTGTTTTTTTCAATTATCCCATTGTTCAATTTCTCAATTTTTTCATTTTTCAGTTTTTAACTCTCATTTATTCGATTTTTTCAAGTTTTCTTTATTTTTTCAATTCTTCGATTTCTCAATTTTTTCATTTTTCAATTCAATTCAAAATTCCGGCTTGAATAAATTTGTTCTTTTGTTCAAAATTAAAAAATGACAAATCGAGAAATTGAAGAAATAAAAATCGAAAATTCGAAAAATTTTATATCGAAAAATTGCAGAATTTTCTTTTTGTCGATTTTCAATTTATCGATTTTAAATTGTTTTGTTTTTTGATGTTTCAGTGTTACAATTTTTATAGTTTGTCAAAAGTTCAATTTCAATAAATTTATTTTTTGTTGTACAATTAAAAAATGAAAAATCGAGAAAATGAAAAATTAAAAATCGAGAATTTGAAAAACTTTATATCGAAAAATTGCAGAATGGCTTCGTTTTGTCGATTTTTCAATTTCTCGAATTTTATTTGTTGCATTTTTTAATGGTTCGGTGTTTCAGTTATTCGATTTTGTAAACTTTCATTTTGATTAAAATTGAAAATTTTAAAATTGAAAAATTGCAAAATTGTTTCGTTTTTCGGTTTTTTGATCTTTCAAATTCGGGATGTTTTATTTTTTCGTTTTTCCAATTTTTCAATTATCCGACTTTGCAGTTTTATTTTTAATTTTTCCATATTTTTACAATTTTTCAATTTTTCAGTGTCTCCATTTTTTAGTTTTTCGATTTTCATTATGAAATTATTGGATTTTTCGGTAAAAGTTGTGAATTTATCGATTTTTCCATTTAAAGATATTTTTATTGTTTGATTTTTCAATTGCTGATTTTTTCGTTATCCGATTTTTTTAATTTGTTCAATGTTTCGTTTTTTTAATTTTTCAGTTTTCGATTTTTTATTTTACAGTTTTTCCATGTTTA